TAGGCCACAGGGCTGGCCCATGTTTTTCATATTTTTTTCCCCATTGATTTCTGTTTATTACTTGCTTTTTTCTATTTATTTTGGATTTACTCTGCTCTTCTTTTTTCTAGCTTCTCAAAGTGGGAATTCAGATCATTGGTTTAAAACCTTTCTTATTTTTTGTGATTACCATTTAAAGCTATAAATTTCCCTCTAAGCCCTGCTCTAGCTGCATTCCACTAATTTTGATATATTGTATCTTCATTTTCATTCAGTTCAAAATATTTTCTAGGGGGCCGGCCCCGTGGCATAGTGGTTAGGTGCGCGTGCTCCGCTGCTGGCGGCCCGGGTTCGGATCCCGGGCGCGCACTGACGCACCGCTTGTCAGGCCATGCTGTGGCGGCGTCCCATATAAAGTGGAGGAAGATCGGCACGGATGTTAGCCCAGGGCCAGTCTTTCCTCAGCAAAAAGAGGAGGATTGGCATGGATGTTAGCTCAGGGCTGATCTTCCTTGCACGCGTGCGCGCACACACATGCTAAAATAAATAAATATTTAAAAACAAACAAACAAAAACAAAATATTTTCTAATTTCCTTATGTTTTTTTCTTTGTTCATGGATTATTTAGAAGTGTGCTGTTGGGGCCGGCCCCGTGGCTTAGCAGTTAAGTGCGCGCACTCTGCTACTGGCGGCCCAGGTTCGGATCCCGGGCATGCACCGACGCACCGCTTGTCCGGCCATGCTCAGGCCACGTCCCACATACAGCAACTAGAAGGATGTGCAACTATGACATACAACTATCTACTGGGGCCTTGGGGAAAACAAAGGAGGAGGATTGACAATAGATGTTAGCTCAGAGCCGGTCTTCCTCAGCAAAAAGAGAAGGATTAGCATGGATGTTAGCTCAGGGCTGATCTTCCTCACAAAAAAAAGGAAAAAAAAAAAAGAAGTGTGCTGTTGGATTTCCAAGTATGTGGCACTTTCCTATTTTATTGTTACTGATTTCTAATTTACTTCTACTGTGATCCAAGAACGTGCTCTATGATAATCTTTTGAAATGTATTGACACTTTTGTATTTTTACTTAATTTTTGCCTAGTTCCTTCTGTTATATATATTTGTGTAGTGTGTATATTTTATATATATATATATACACACACCCACACATATACATTCTGTATATTCTATACTAAGAGAGGGGTATTAAAATCTTCAGTTATGATTGCGGAGTTGTCTAATTCTCCCTTGCTGTAGTTCTTTCAGGTTTCTTTGCTTCAAACATATTGAAGTTCTGGTATTAAGTGCTTGTACATTTGTGCTTGTTATGGTTTCCTGAGAAATTAACCCTTTCACCATTATGAAATGTTCCTTTTTATCTCTGACGATACTCCTTGCCTTGAGGTTTACTTTGTTATTAATATAGCCAACACCAGCTTTCTTATGCTTAGTGTTTGTGACATGTTTTACTTTTAACGTATAAATATATTTAAAGTGAGTCTCTTGTGGAGCACATATAGTTGGATCTTGATTTTTTTTAATCTAATCTCACAATCTCTGCCTTTTGAGTGTTAAATCTGTTTGTGTTTAATCATTAATATGGTTGGAAATAGTTTTGATATTCCATACTCAGAGTTAATATTGTGTCATTTTATGCAAAATGTAAGTACCTTGCAACAGTATATGCCATCTTTTACTCCCATCTTTTGTGTTATGGTTGTCACATATTTTATATCTACATACATTATAAACCCACAATACAGTGATAGTGATATAATTTTTTGCTTTAAGCAGTTTCCTTTTAAAGAAATTAAAATAAGAGGGCTGGCCCCATGGCTTAGCAGTTAAGTGCGCACGCTCCGCTACTGGTGGCCCGGGTTTGGATCCCGGGAGCGCACCGACACACCACTTCTCCGGCCACACTGAGGCCGCATCCCACATACAGCAACTAGAAGGATGTGAAACTATGACATACAACTATCTACTGGGGCTTTGGGGGGGAAAAAAAAAGGAGGAAGATTGGCAATGGATGTTAGCTCAGGGCTGGTCTTCCTCACAAAAA